ACAGAGTTCATAAGCCTGTCGCAGGAAACGTGTGCGATCCAGAGAGTGCTTTCTTCGGTTCTCGTGCTGATGAGCAGTCACTGCACTGAATAAGAAGCGTCCAATTTGCTCCACTATACAGTCTGAAAAACAGAATAACGTACAAACATCATGCTGGGTCAGTTATCTGCTGAGTTGAGAAAGTTATAGCCAAAAGTCTCCTCGTTATCGGTAAAAGATGCTCAATCACGCATGCATACCCTTACACTTAGTAGTCCAATAATGATTCAACGAAATTTACTTGAAAGCAAGCGGCCGATTTCGGGACTTCATGAGATGAAGTATCGTCAATCTAACTGTCAACCCTTAATTGGCCAAAATGAGGATCGGGTATGATCAGGAAATCTGAAGTATGATCACTTCAAATCAATAATTAGGGGTTAAGTGTTTGTGGCATTTGAGACACTATGTCCTCAGGATAACGCTGAACAAATAAAAACACACCATCTGTTAAGCTATTTGGAATTAAACAACGTTAATCGCAAAGGTTACATTGGCTGCACTTAACCATTCACAGTTTGAGCTAAGCAATCTTGCACAGATTGACAATGATTTGGGAGCTGAACTCTGACCAGCAATCACGTGATGAGGAAAACTTCTATGGGCGAGGCAAACTTTGCGTAAAGTCGAACCGATCAGGTTCCACCCCGTGATCAGTTTGTTAAATTGCACATTTGCCCATCAAGCTCTAGCCAAAACCAGTGATTCTTTAGCTAAAACCGTTAGACCTTTAGGTTCGACGTGCAAACTTTAGCCATACCACTGTAGGTGAATTAGATAGAAACATTTCCGGGATATTCTGGAGCTAATGAGAGTGGAAAATTTTAATTTGCTCAAATGCTGAAGTTGCAAAACTTGGTTAGGAAACTAAAAGATGCTGCGCAGCTGACAGCCGTAATGGCATCCAATATTAATTTCAGTTTATACTGGTTGCAGTTGTGAACAGTGCTCATTATCCTCAGGCTGTCCAAGTATCCGCTTATCCAAACGGATCCCTCGTTTACTGTAGCTAGGGAACGGTAAGCGCATTCTTTTTATTGTATCGTTTTCTATCAGGCTTTGTAAATTCAAAACCATATACCGTCTATGTTACATGAAGGCTTTCTACTTCCACAGGTAAGATATTTGGTATCTTTCTCTCGTATCACCGTCATACGATAATGGGGTTTTAAAACACAACGCGACAGATGGAAGTAATATTTGCCGCATACCTTAACTACCATTACACGAATCTACATTATGAGCAGTTCAGTGGCTCGATGTGCTTGACTCATGCTAGTTGGGCAGCCCAGTGAACTTCGCCTGCGCATAGGGGTGGACGACACCGGAGTATCACAAACATTACGAACCGATGTTCAGAGAGTTTCAGGCCAGGTTGAGTGAAGAGCAAGTGACACAAACCGCCGCAACTTATCCAATCAACTCGCACAGATAGTCAGAGGGGAATTCAGTTGTGTGAGGTTAAAGGTGACGAGGACAAGATGATGTGTAACGAATGAGTTCCAAATTTCCCCATATCAGTTTGCAGAATATACCGCGGAGCTAAACGTGCATTTGAGGGCCATATGAAACTCACCAGGGGAATAATGCGGTAAAGTCCAACTTCTGTCATTCAGTGCTGTGATCAGAACATCCGCCTCCTCGTAAACCTTTGGAAAAGGAAAAACAGTGAAACTAGGACAGCGAAAACTGCCATGTGCCAACACAAGCGGGAGACGTGGAATCTAGTAAAGGTTGGTCAAACTTTTCGCTTCATTCATCATACACCTTTATCACTACCAAATAAACTTCGATTGATCGTCCTATGCACAACCGAGGTGATCACTGTTCATACATTGTATCCTCCCTATCTAATCAGAAAGCAGTTTGTTTGGGTATTAGTTTTGTCATGACCTCAAATGAAGAAACTCAATAATACACCCCCGGGGGAGGCATCAGTGGCCTTGCAAAGATGAGGATCAGATAAACAAACATAGCAAATCCTCTCTGTACTTAGTTTGATGCAGTCAAAATCAGCTCGACGAACACAAAACAACCTCTATACAATTGCAATGACCAGTCGAGAAATTTGTCGGAAAACAGCTTGTTTCGCCTACCGGTTATTGTTTTCAGTTTGGCAATAGAAAATCTTCATTTACTGAAAACACGATTTGCATGCAAACTGGGGAACAAAGTTATCAAAAGATGTGAATCTGTCATTTCTCACTCATACACGCCCCATGTGTTAGTTTGTAATCTTCTCGCGCTGAGTTCTCCAAAAATAAATACACCCCCTTAGCATAAATGAACATTCTGAGATGTCTAAAATTGACGGATGCTTAATGAATGTTCACGATGGAAATACTTAGTGAAAAACCGCTTCCCACCATCCACTATATATGTGAATACCCCCATACTGTTGGTAAGGAAGAATTGAATAACTGACCAGATAAGATTGACATTCCGATAGTCTAATCAAGGTCAGTTCAGAGGGATACAATTGATCGATAGTGGACTGAAGGTGTAATGCCGCACGAACTGCGAAAAATCCCTTTTGATTGTGTAGTTTAAAAAAGATGGACTATTGTAATTTTGAACAAAAAACAAAAATGCGAGATGTAAGCGTAATTTTCGGATGAGTTTCGTTGGATCTAATCTTGTGCTCGGTTTAGACAAAAGGATGTATATATCCAAGATTATTGAGTCATAATTAGCACAATCCAGCTTCTTTTATAAGATAATTAAGGAAGAAATAATTGATGCAAAATCGTGTTATGCAATCATGTTACGCTCGTTTCTTGAGGGTGTTACTCACAGTTGAAGGTTGTTTCGATTTGTTCACTTAATATCTATCAAAATTTTAATCGAAGAAAAAATGTTTTACAGATCTACAATTTCATTCCAGTCTAGTTTCTAAATTCTGAGTTACTGCATGCACAAGTACTTACAATTATGTAAAATTCTGGTTAGTAGTCTGGTGGATACGCGTAAAATATCTTTTTTGGGACATATGTCTTCCGTGACGGTGGGCGTTTGCGGTTTTGTAGCCGAAATAAACGCTACCATGTTGTACACAACGCAGTACAACACAAAAGGAGGCAGTGAATGAACGGTGGCAAGACCAATTTACACAAAAATCGATTATCTCTTCGGGCTTTGAACTACGAACGAACTTCATTGATTACATAGTTTAGGACATTTCGATTGAAAACGAGAGTTTCAAACACGAATTCGCGATGAGTTACGCAGTGATAATCCGCTTCTGCTAATGAATTACCACTCTGCATGTATCAATATGTATACACTTGAATCTGCCTTGCCATATATATGTATTTGGTGTGCAGTAAACTTACAGGAACTCTTTAGAGATTCATATATTTTGGCTTTAATGTTTTCTGAGCAAAGAGACTCAGCTGGAATGAACGACCAAACGAGTATTATAACACGGTATACCAGATTCAAGAACGACACAATGTGCCAGTTCTCACTGCAGCAAAATGCCGTAAAAGCGGAGAACTGCAAACCCCTTTATCTTTATCTTCTTCGTGATACAGTTCATACATGATGTGTATCTCAACCTCGCGTCAGGACGGTTAATAATATACCCCTTTGCCGGTAAACGATGACATTTTTGTGACCCTGGTGAACAAGTATGCTTAAAGGTTCTCAACGCGGTATTGACCTGAGCTGCAAGTTAACTGTGGCGTTATTGCATGCTCCGGGAACAAAAGTTCACAATTTTTAGCGAGACATTATCATGCTGATAAACGGGATTAGCGAAACTGAAAACCATTCCAACTGAATCTCTCATGTATTACTGGCTCACTTTGGCCGTTGACTAAGAAAGGCTTCGCACAGCACCACTTAACTCCTGCCGTTGATTCTTCCATTAAGAATGTGTTATATTTTCGGATACCGCACTAGCGAGAAGTCCTAGCAACCGATCTATTCAAAGATTCGTCATCAAGCAGACAGAAATGTTCTCACTTCTCTGCTTGATAAATTCCAGACATCGTTAGATTGTGTCACTTGATCTATTGCGTTATCTAACGATTGGATGAAAAAGGAGTCCTATTTTGTAGAATGCAGATGTTTCGTTTTTCCCGAAATCCGTGAAGTTCCTTTTCAGTGTCATTGAGCTAAAACACAGTGTGAGTTATATGGGATGTATAAATGAAACCCACGTGAGTGAAGCTCAACGAGACAGGCTTCATCGCCGAGGTGTATCAACGTATCATGAGCCATATGATCCCGATTCCTGTGAATTTTTCAGTCGCCAACAGGGTTCCCCATGCTTTTATCATCTCTATCGTCAAATTAGCTTAGGGCACATCGGTCCGTTCTGAAATGTGCTATACCATTTGGTTGTTCTGATAATATTTGGTTCCTTAGAAAAAATCAGACTTGAAAATATGTGGAATAGTGAGCGGTCCAATCATACAGTATATAGATATAAATATCTTACCGGGTCCACACACTTAATAATTGATTAGCATGTAGTCGGTGGTACACTTCTAGGGCACTTTCTCTCGGTCAATTAGACACTAAGAATAGCGGAATATTCACAGGAAGACAATAGGTTGAGATAATACGATTCACTCATGGATTATTCAGGAAAAAACTATCGCAGAGTTGGAAATTATAGATTGGAGAGGAAGAAGCACACGAGAACTCCGGGAAAATGATTTATCTGATACCTATAGTTTATGGGCAGCCACAGCCGCAAAATCAGCAGTATGATTTCGGAGAGAATTTTTCCAGTCATTCAAATACCACTTATTGTACCGGTAAACAGTAAATTTTAAAATGAATCCAACGATTCGCCGTGTGAGAATTATTCTTTTCTCGAATAGATTAGCTGAACTGGCAGAGAGAGTGAAATTTAAAACATCAGTTGTGAACAGGAAAAGACAAAATGTAAGTATTAGCTTACCATGGAGAAGAAAATGGCTTCATTCAATGCTTCTTTTTCCAGTAGTATGTCTATTGCCATCGAAGGTGGGATGATGGAAGCTTTGGATAGAAATTTCCTATATAATGAGGAATTGTATTAGAAGGTAAAACAGTCATGTAATGATATCTATATGTGAAAAGGTTTTCATACATCCAGTTGAAGTTCTTGAGCTAGACAACTTTTCTGTTTTCTATAGTTTTTTTCAGTACAGTTCAATGGAATTAGGGAAAACGTCTTAAAAGGGTGGTTGGCTCGAACTTATGTGACTGTATACATAAAAATAAATGTGATTTCAACTATCCATCTAATCCGAGTTGTTTTAACCAAATCAGAACAAATTGGTATAGCGAACAACAGCGGCAACAACAACAACAACCACGAAATCATTCAATCCAGAAGCATATAAAACTTAGCAACAGTTTGTTTGCCCAATCTGGTAATCAGCAGACGATCAGCGTTGTCAAATTTGCACCGAAGATGACTTACAAGAATTGTTTTTGGAATCCGAGCTTCTGAATATTTTGCCACAGACTAGAATTGTTGGCCAGACATAAACACTCAGTGTTGGGGCCCAGTAACCGGGCGAATAGACGTAGGATGGTTATATTCAAAATTCTGACTGAATCCACGTCGTGTCCATTACGAATGGACCATAGTGTGCAATTCGTCCTCAGATCGCTGTGTAAACCAACAGCCAAGGACATACGTGCACCTGGCCAGATACACATATTGTCCAGACAAAGTTGATGTGTTTGTTGCACTGTTTGAGCAGACGAAAGCACCCGAACCTGCATGTGCTGTGGGATCTGTGTGCAGCAAGGAGGGGAAGAGGACGGGTAGATATTAGCAGAATGGTAAATCTGACAATCGAAAAACTTATACGTGGCCAAAAAAGAGTTTTTGTGAAGTGTTTCTGAATTCCAGGATTTGAGGAACCAATAGACCATAAGAGCTCTGTAGAACACCACAAAAGGAACATAGCATAGCAGGCAACCTCTTGTTTAATTTTTCACAATTATGACAATACAGTTGAATATATATATTACCTACAAGAGATAAGGGTTCGTAACAAGAAGCTGGAGTAGGCTGTGTTGATAAATTTAGGTCTGAATTGCTCTTCACATCACATAGAAGTTTTCCTACGAACCGGTCACGTGTTGAGAGTTTGGCCTATGAAACTCATGTGATTAGGCTCTCGAATGCTGTTGGGATTAGTCAGTAATATGTAGTATTTTGTCTCTATAGACCTTTGGTTGGGAAATCAATGGTCTTACAATTGAGCTTCATAATTGATATTCAACACCCTAAGCGTATGGCTAAATAATTTTCTTCTCTCGCCCATATAAATTTACATTTACCAGATTCACTGTTTTGTTCTTCTGTTGATCAGAGACTGCGCTCAGCTGATAAGTATCCACAGTAATGAAACAGTTCGCAAATGCCCTTTGTCGACTTTCGTGTAGCGAACTTAATCGCCTATGAAATATGTTCCAATTTTCCAGGGAATGATCGGAATGGTGAAACCCACACGAAACCGGGGGGAAAACACAAAATTTCATGTCCTTAAATCGACACGAATAACACAAATAAATATTTATTTGTTGTGATAATTTAAAGAATCAAGTAAAATGAAATAGGTAAAACAATCTCTTCTGATAGTTCCATTATCAATAAGGATCTAGAATGAGTGCTGCGGCCTAGATAACTTATCAGATTGCCTTGAAGCACAGAGGAACATTGTGTTCAACTCATCCCTTGTAAAATAAACCACCAATGAGTGGTTAGTTAGTTATATGATAACTTTTTTTGTCCATGGTCTCCAACTGTACAGCGTCCATGGTTCTCACTGCCGCAGAACAGTAGACAACTCATTACCGTAGTTTACGGAAAGTGTGGTTAATTGAATTAACACAATTTAACACGTTCAGACTATTAGGGAAGAGAGATGCGGTTCAGACTTCCGATCTAGTCAGATACTCTTTTCAGAGCAGACAAAACACACTTGGAAGAGATGGTGGTGTTCCTGTGTTCATTGGGGCTTACAGTCTATCTGTTTATTTGGACCCTAATTCAAACCCGAAAGGCTATGGCAAGGTTTCCGGTACCGCCTAAAACTGACAATCAATGAGCGGTTTTCGTGGGAGTCATCCATCGGAAACCACGGTGGTTGGATATTGTATAGTTTCTCCTACTTCGGTTGGGTCAACCAAGGTTTTATATCTGACGCCGTCTCTCACTCCCTTTTTTCTCTCTCTCCCCAGAGACTTAATCCCATCGCTTTAGAATCTGTCGTTTTCTCAGTATGTGGTCTAATTGCTACACTACCCTTTCTGAAAAAATTCCATCTTGGATCTAGTCATCTATCGCAGAATTTCGGAGGCCAAGGTATTCATGATTTCGTAGCCAGTCGATAGCAATGACCAAGTGGTTATAACAGCACATTGAAAAGGAAATGTACGGTCTTCGCTGGAAGCAAAAATGTGGCTAATATTTGATGGATTTCATTTGAGGACTCATGATTGTGTTTTCCGTATCCCGGTCTGGTTACTTCCCATGACATAAAATAGACGAAAGATGACGAGGAAACTGCGTTCAGACATTCGCTTCTCGGAGCTGGAAGTTCTGCATACCATTCCCGTGGCAAAGTAACTGGCCAAAGTCCCAAACCCTTGGATAACGCGATCTTCACTCTTCGACGATTGCAGCGAATGAAAAAGGGTATCATCATACTTTTGTTATAGGTCGGCTCTAAAGCGGCTATGCTGTAACATAATCCTGCGCGTCTTACTTCCGTTATTGGTAAAACAATGGAACGGTTGGTTGCTTAATGCCCGAGACAACACCTAGAAAGCAATCAGTTGTTATGCTTGCAACAACATGGATTCAGGAATAAGAGGCCATTTGTTTCCAATCTTCTCCTCGCGCGTGACCACTGTATTAAAATCAAGGTTACAGGGCACCACGCTGACTTTAGAAAAGTTTTTGATGTGGCCTTGCATGATGGATTGCTCCAGAAACTCGTAGCACCTGAGATCGCAGATCCACTGGATTGCCGAATAAGCGGCTGTTTGCGCGAGATAAACTACTCTAAAAGAGTTACTCATTTATTATCCCTTTGGTTATGTGCCCCAGTGGCTTACTTCAGGTATCGATCCCCGGCCCCTTACTGCTTTTGGTGGTCACAAATAAACCACGGCCAGTCATATTGTAACGAGAAGGCGAGCGGTCTGGGAAAACGTCTATTGATCCTATTC